TCATTTGGAAGCAGATGATTTTCAAGATGCCTTCTTATGGACTTCTGCAGGAGCATTTGGGGTCTTTTTTCCAGGTGTCATTATAGTTCTTTATTTGAACCCTTACATTTTCAATTACAAATAAACTACCCATATTAAAGAGAGCGGTGACAAGTTATTTCATGGGTGGAGGCAAAGAAGAATAGCCTTTTAGCAGTTCATAAGATTTTGATCATGTAACAGACGATCACAATAACCAAAAGATTGTCAGATTGATGTGGAAAGATTTTGAGCCAAGTTCATACAGAGATGTCGAAACTGACATCATCAATTATCAAAGTGGAAAGAGTTTCCATGGGACTGGTTTTCATCCCTCTCTCGTCTTGTCTGTGTCTTTGGCTATCATTTCAAATTCTGCAGTTTTTCCACATTCACTGTTATAGTTCTCATATTACGTGCTTATTAAACCCAACATATATATTAAACTCAGCATAGTATTTCTTCGCAATCCGTGAAAGAAAACGGGAAAGCATCTCCACCTTCCCTCCCTAAAATTTCAGTAACAGACTAAAAGCTGTTGGATGTTTTTTTTTTTTTTTAATTATTTCAGAAACTAATTTTGTAAAATATCTATTTTACCCTTCATAACTCTTGGGATCACTGACTATATATTGACTAGCCATTATTCGCCTCTGCGTTTGCTTGTGACTAATGGCTTGTTGTTATAAGTGAGATTAAACCCACAACTTTCTACTTATATGAGAGCTTTTATAGCACTAGACTGTAAAGCCATTAACCTTGTGCAATAATTTTGAATGGTTGTGACATAACTGATAAGAAAGTGAGAGGTTGGTCCAGTCGTGTGCTTTGTTTGGGGCAAGGAATCTTCACCTTTTCCTTATCTTCCACACTAAACGACCCTACGTGAGCATCAGGTACGAGGTGGAGCATTCTGAGTGAATACTTCCTGGATTGGGAGAATTAGCTGCTAACAACCTTAAAGCCCATTTATAAAACGAAACTCAAGTTTTCTTAAATTATGTTGCAGAAATGACATCAGCAACTTTAATTTATCTCTATGTTTTGTTATAATCACGACCCATTCAGCGAGAAACTACATCATTTGTTATAACCATATGGCTGATACAATATATATGAGAAAAATTATTATTGTCTGCATGAGGTTCTTGCTGTGTGTACTATGGTTTTGTTAAATATTTTCTGCTAAAATTGCACTGTGTCCCAACGTTGTTTGGACAATCCATCATAGATCAGATCTGTTTCTATGTGTCATAGATTCTAATCACACCCAAAATAGCGGACTGATAAGTCTGTGATTTATATTTAATGAAATTCCTTTTATAAAATACATTTTAATTTTATTATTTTATAAGTCTGTGGGATCTCTGGCCATTGACTATATTAACACCCCCCCCCCAACCGGGGTTTGACTGTGACTTGGTTTTCAAGTCTTGGTTGTTAGCTTTGTTGGCTGCGACTTACTTTTCAAGTCTTGCATGGCTGTTAGCTTTATTGGTTGTTTCCCACTAAGTAAGTGCTGTGTTTTTTCAATTTGGCCAAGTTACGTTTTTCTCAGTTGAATTTTGCTGTGGATGTTGATTGTTAAGATTTCATTACTGTTATCATTTTATGTGAAGCAATGATACTTTTTTCCCTTTCATTTTACTTTCTGTGTACTATTGTATGGGAGTTAATTAAGATGTTAAAAGGAAAAAAAAAAATCTTTTTGATTTTCTCCAAATTATAATCTGAGCAATTTTCATTTATAATCTGCTCCTGTAAATGTCTACTCTGAGAGAGACAAACTGAGCAGGGGACTCTTATTATATACGCATCAATAATCAACAAGTATAGTAATAAAAGGTTAGGCTTTAAATTTATTTAGGCAAGCGGAATCTGGTTTTATTTAATTATATATATAGCATGATGTTTCATTTTGGAATTATATAAAATAATCAAGATTAAGATTTACAGCAACTTGGCAATAGTAATTAAAGGATTTGATTCTTGTTGAAACACACTTAAATTGTAATATTATAGAACGTACGTAATTTTTGCTATAGCCTAATTAAACTTTATATATGAAACACGACAATTAACATAAAAATTCATTAAAATATATAGAAGTGTTTTGTGTGCATAAACATGCCATATCTCAGACTCACACTAAGGAATCTTAGGCAGGCGCAAAAACAAAAAAGACAAAAAAAACAAAAAGAAACACTGCTCTTAGGAAAATACTATAAATCTTTAAAAACAACTGTGCATGATTAAAATGTAAGATCAAGAATAAACAGTCTAAAACCAATGAACAAGACCCAAAAACAAGCAAAGATTAGCAGAAATAATTTTTTATTTGGCAAACCAACTAACCTATTACTACTTTGATTCTCATTATAAGACCTCGTTTATAGACTACAAATAAAATCTTATAATTAGGACTGGAGGTAGTATATTTTTTCTATCTTTTTGTTGTTTGTATAATTAGGAGTCTTTGGCTAATCAAGTTCAAACTGGAAAATCCAGTTTAGATTAATTCTATATGTTTTTATCCTAATAATTAGCCCTAACTGAGTGCCTAGGAGTCAATTTTAGTGCTAAACACAGATAAACGTATAGAAACAAACTTCAGAGTTTAGACCTATAGTTTACTTTCTCCACAAAAATCTCAAGTCTACCATATACAATCTGGCTTTCCAAACTCCCTTTGATGGGGCAAAGTTTGTTTGATAAGAATACACACACACACATAAAGCTTATTTGTGTGGTGAACATTGTTAGCAACTGTCAGGATCAATCACAAGTCGTCGAGAGGTTACGTCAAGCCCCATCGTGTATTTTGGGGGCAAGGAATCTTTCATCTTTTCTAATCTTTCTGACTAAACGACGCCAAATTTGTGTCAGTTATGAAGGGGAGCACTTGAGAGAATGCTTCTTGGATCGGGTTGATCCATAGAAACTTGAGACAAAGGCCTACATAAATCAAATCCAGAGCAATACTTAACTGCAAATTAAACTGCATATTTAGACTTTGTGTGAAGATATATTTCAAATTTTATAAAGAGATATCAAAGAATCACGCATGCACGAAACATATAGATGTGTGTGTGTGTGTGTGTGTTAACAACGTTGAAGAAGCTCACTTGTGAAACAAAACTGTAGTTTTCTTTAATCGAAGAAATGACACGAATGAGATTTATATGTCATTCACATCCTCTCATAACTTGTCATAATCACGACCCGGATTCAACAAGGAAACTATACGTTAAATTCCTCTCAGAACGTGACTCCTTATAACTTTATGATAAATGTCATTCTTGCTGGTAGGTTTGATTTGAAATTAGTGTGAATGCGTACAGATATCTTGCCATCCAAGACGTGAGATGTGGGATGGCAGTTGGTCAATGACGGCCCAATGTGATGCGCGTTGTAGGGTATATTTTGCAGAATGTTGAGGCACATGCACTGACTTTTATTAGTCATGATAAGAATACAAATGAAATTATTGCAAGATACTCTTCGAAATTTCCAATGTTAAATTACCAAGTTGGTTCTTATTAGTCTCTCACCAAATTTTTAAAGAACACTATCAGTTGATCAACGTAGGAAGATGGGATGAGTTAGATGTTGAAGTGGCTAAAATAAGATGTGATGTGATTTTATAAGGTGTCCTAAGCGGATAAAGTTACATCCTAGGTGGTGCGTCCAAGTTGGCGTCCTACATGTTGATCAAGCCTTTCATGGCAACATGCATGTGACATTCAACATTACATTTAATAAGTCAACCCAAAGCCAATTCATCTAAGGTGAGGAATACCTAATGAAGAGATTGATCTTCAAGTGTCTACAATATGCATTGAGAGCCCAAATCACCATATATTAAAGGCCTAATACATAAATATGCACTTGGAGGAGACAAATTAAGTCATAATCTTCTAAATTTATGCCCAAATGCATATCCTAAGTAATGTATCATAGAAATTCATGACTGTAAATAGTCACATGGTGCATAATAAAGCTTTCGATGTATATATGTATAATTTACTTCGTGCTTCGTGGCACCGTCAACCGTGTCTACCCAACAATCTGCGTACACACACACACAGAGTACATAGACATACATTGTTAATTAAGACCGACATTTTTATAAGCATTTCGAACTGTGATTTTTGAAGATGTAAAAGCACATCAGTTACGGTAAAAAAATAGTTAATAATGATTATGATCATATAATTCATTACCTTTTATCTCATTCTTTTTTGTCGGTTTCCTCTTTTAGCCCACTGATTTGCCAGAGTAAGAGTCCATTCTAGTTCTCGCTGAATATTTGTGGATAATTTCTGATTGGAACAATAAAACTTTTGGTCCCTCAAATTTGCTTACCTTATTGATTTGGTCGATGAAATTTAATTAATTGTTATAAATCAAGTCCCTAAAGTTTCGTAATCATACAAAACTAGTCATTATGGTTTGAAGATATGTAATCCTAAACTCACATGTGCTATCACTAACCATTAATTCAAGGATGATAATCCTCACTTTGCTTTATTTATGAAATTTGAACCAATTTTTTATATTTTCTCCCAATAATTATATGCTATATCACTTCATTTATTCTCTCTCATACTTAATTATCTTTTTCTTACTCAATTTCTCTCTCATTCACCATTTTTATTATTTTTGGGGAAAAAAAATACATTTTTACATGTTTATTGCCTTTAAGCAATTTCAACAAACTATATAATCTACATAATTTAATCATTTATATCTTATAGATAGCATCAGAGGGAATAAAGTTGCATATGAAACCTTAGGAACTTGATTGATAAAAATTAAACTTCACAGTCCAAATTGATAACGGAGGCAAATTAAATTTGAGTACCAAAAGTTTTATTGCTCATTTTTTAAAAATATTATCAAGTAAGATATTTTATAAAATGTTTGAGATACTAAAAGTTTTGATTCCTGTTGTAAATATTTTTTAAAGCATAAATTACTAAGCAAGATATTTTCTTGGATATATGGAGGGGCCCAAAGCAAGCTTAATAAAAACTACATTAACAAACTTTCACTTCATGTTAAATTATGAAGAGGCTGATGATATTAATTATATGAATTATTTTTTATAATTCTTTATACCCACTAACATTCATAGTAACTGATCACATGTTGTTTGTGGGACAGGGCTGCTTGGCGATATCAGGCTGCTGAACTTGGAAGTGTTGAACTTACAATTCAATATGCTCATAGAATTCCCATATTTCGGTGTTAAATCTTTGTCTTCTCTATTATCCTATATTTTGAGTGACATATGTAGTTACTGAAACGTGAATCAAAAGTATATCCTTTTTCAAAAAAGAGATTACCGGGCCATCATTTTAAGAAAAATGCTAAAAGGAAGATATAGACAAGGTTTTCTTCATTAAATATATGAAAGTTTCTATTTTTTATCTTGATTTTGTTGGAAGTCAAATTATTTACCTTTGCCATATAATCATCTCAACCGAACAATTTATGTGCCTTTATTTAATTGAGAGAATTGAATGAAATGTCAAAAGTGAGACATAAGATGACGTTTTCTTACTTAGCAGATTCATTATCAATAAATTTTAACAACATATATACTAATTAATTAATTTGAAGGAGCTGTGGCTTAACGCACAGCATACATTTCCATTTGGCATTTGACAGATATTTCTCAATTTGCAACTTTTGATTCAGCCAGTTATGAAGGGAATCTTTTTCTATGTGGTCTGCCTCTACAGCAAAATTGCACAAAAGAGGGGAGAAATGAGCAACCTCATCACTTGGAAGCAGATGATTTTCGAGACGCCTTCTTATGGAGTTTTGTGGGAGCATTTGGGGTGTTTTTTATAGGTGTCATTATAATTCTTTATTTGAACCCTTACATTTGCAATTAGAGACTACTCATACTAGAGAGAGCTGTGACAAGTTATTTGTATGAGTGGTGGCAAAATAGAAAAACATTTTAGTTTTAGTTCATAAGATTCTGATCATGTAAGAGATGGCCCGGTGATCATCTCTAGAATAACAATAACCAAGTGATTGCTAGTTTTAAGTCTTCTCGTGATCAGGAAGGAAACTGAAATGAAATATTCGAATCATTACTTTGTCTCTCTCTACGTGGTCGTTAGTTCAAATTGTTGACTATATGATAAATGGTCGAGTGAAAAAAAAAAAAGAGCAAGAAGCAGCCTTATAAAGGCTATTCACATTCACATTTCTTCACGCACTTTGACAATATTATTGGAAACTTTCATTAAGCTACCTTAGCCGCCGCCGCCGCCGCCGCCGCCGTCAACCCATATGTGTGTCATGTGCTCGTAAAATTAGCAATCTCCTAAAAATCCTTCATTATCATATATCTGTTTCGTCTTTCCCTCTCTGTTCCTATCATCAATATTTATTTATGAACATTGCTTTGCGGATTTATTCACGAAAGTATGTTGAAGTTGATTCATACGTTTAAGCATGTCTCTACGTACAGTGCAATCAAACCCAATTTTAACACCTAACATACAATAGACTGTAACTGATAATGTAAATCTTCGAAGATTCAGCAACAAGTGCCATCCAGCTCGTATTTAATATACCCATCTTTGAATGTGGGTTTAATTTCTTTGAACAACTGTTTAAGTAGACAATTTCCATCTATACAGTTTTAGCAATGTTGATAATATCATCACTGAGATTATGGGCATCAGCACTGAGATTATAGGTCGAGCTTATCCATAAAACTTAACTGCTCTAAACTTTTTTCGTTTCTTTTCTTTCTTTCTTTCTTTTTCTTTTTCTTTTTTTCAAAGAATCCTTGCAAAATGACATCCACAAAGAGATGGTCGATCAAAACATTATCGCATTGATTTGGTGGACCCCTACGAATAAAGCTACAGCCAGCTGCATGATTCCTTTTTCTCATAACAGTAATATTTGTTTATTTGTTTTAACATCTTCAGTTCTACTGATATTCATATCTATAGAATTAGGTTGGATTAGCTTAGGATTTTGATGACCTTCGTGAAATTTCAGCATCACAGAGACAGCTGCATATCTCAATTATGGTGAAGTGGAAAGTACAGGTTTTGGGGAATTATGAGTAACTAAATATGGTCAGTATGGAAAATTTGGTAATAAATATATCTCAAGTGAAAAATGCATTGACTCTCCATTTCTTGCCATTCTGGAAGGATCGCTGAAGGCTGAAGTGAAGATATTGATTTTTTTTTTTTGGTTTTGACAGTTTCTTGAAGCAATCATGTTTAGATGAAGTAATCATGTATCCACAAAGTCATTCATTTGTTTAGATGAAGTATTCCTCACTCTATGATGAGATCATGAAAGTTCAAAATATTGAAGTTTTATGTATGTTATTTTAATTTATATTGAGATCATCAAGCTCTCTAAGTTTCAGAAGGTGATCACCATGTATTGTGCTCTGCAGTCTCATATAATTTCATAAGAATATTGCAAACGCATGTTTTCTATATACTCCTCTAAATCAACATAGAGAAAGAATAGGATGGAGCATGGAGTGGGCAAATAATTAAAAATTGTTTGGTGTATTATTTTTTTAATTATCTGAGAAAGAATTCATTTTGGACGACATCAATTTTACCCCATATAGCTCTTGGGATCACTGACTATATTTCAACTAGCCATTATGGTTCCCTATGTTTGGTTGTGACTCAGTTTTGCTAAAATGTAACTCCCCTGTTGGCTAGCTAGCCATCCTATTTTTCTGACTTTTTGCCATTGTATTATCCTTGGCTAATCAAGTTCAATTGGAAACTTGGTTTAGATTAATACTTAAATTATCATAATTAGCCATAACATTTACAGATGAACGTGTAGAAAGCTCTATACCTGTAGTTTACTTCTAACTTCATGTTCTTTTTTTTTTTAATAAGAAGGACAAACACTGATCCTGTTTGAAATCATAATTAAAATTACTTATAAACATGTTTCACGTAAGTCGAGAAAATCTCGTCTTACTTGCTTACCTCATCCATAAATCACGATTGAAAAACTATTTATAAGTCATTCTAAACAGGCTCACTAATAACTTACAGTTATAAATGGAACCAAACCTGTGACCTCCTACTTTTAAAAGAGCTTTTATATGACTGGACTATAAGACTCTTGACTTCATGCAATGATTTTGAGTAGTTGTGATAACTGATAAGAATATCGAGCGTTAGCAACGGTAGTCAGGATCATCAGAAAGTGAGAAGTTGGGCCTAGTCGTTTGCTTTGGGTGGGGCAAGGAATTATGATCTTTTTCTTATTTTCCACACTAAACGACTATATATAAGTCTGCATCAAGTTATGAAGTGGAGCACTATGAGAGAATACTTTCGGGATTGGGTCAAGTAATTTCTAGCAACCTAAAAGCTCATTTATAAAACAAAAGTCATGTTTTCTCTCATTGCAGAAATGACATCAGCAACTTTATCATTCATGTGTTTTTTATAATCACGAGTCATTCAACAAGAAACTATTGTGGAACAGTTACACAACTAATTTATAGATATTAAAAAAATTAGTTAAGTTAATTATTTATAATAAATAGGTTTTTTTTTATAAATATCTTTGTTAATCATGTGCATTGAAACAATTCTTGCTGATTACCATAGAAATTACTTACAGGCAAAATAGATAAAGATGAGAGACAAAGTAAATTAGGATATTATATTTAAGATCAAATTAAATCTTCAACTAATTTTTATATTAAGTGCTGGAGGTAGCACATCATTCGTTTTAACCATATTCCAGCCGACACTATAGAACAAATGCTTATAATGCTTATTGTCGGCATGAGGTTCTTGCTGTGTATTTTCTGATATTATCGTGCTCTGTCCCAACATTGTTTGAGCAGTCCATCAGATGTCAAATTTCTAGTTGATAGGATTTGTCTATATGTGTCACAGATTCTAATTACAACCAGACCAGAGGATTGATGAGTCTGTGATTTATTATTTTCTAATTATTTCATGAAATTCTTTTTATAAATATAAAATAATTTTATTCTTTTACAGGTCTGTTGGATCAGCGGCCAGTGACTAGATTACACCACCCCCAAACTGTTTGACTGTGGCTCGGCTTTCAAGCCTTGGACTCTTGGCTGTTAGCTTTATTGGTTGTGACTCACTTTTCATCTGTATAGCTTTAGCAGTGTTGATAGTATCAGCACTGAGATTATGGCCGGCCGCCTACCCAAAAAACTTAACGGCTTCAAACTTTCTTCTTTTCTTTTCATTCTCTCTCTCTTTCTCTTTTCTTCTTTTAAAGAATACTTGCAAAATCACATCCACGAAGAGATGGCCAATCAAAACATTATCGCATTGATTTGATCAACCCCTACGAATAAAGCTACAGCCAGTTGCATGATTCCTTTTTCTCATAACAGCAATATTTGTTTATTTGTTTTAACATCTTCAGTTTCACTGATATTCAAATTTATAGGATTAGGCTGGATCAACTTCAGGATTCTGATGAGCTTTGGCTACGAAATTTTAGCATCACACAGAGAGTTGCATATCTCAATTATTTTGAAGGGGCAAGTACAGGTTTTGGGAATTGTGAGTAATTAAATGTGGTCAATATGAAAAATTTGGTAATAAATATATCTCCAGAGAAAAATGCATTCACTCTCCTTTTCTTGCCATTCTGGAAGGACCACTGAAGACTGAAGTGAAGATATTGATTTTTTTTTTTTGGTTTTGAAAATTTCTTGAAGTAATCATGTCTAGATGAAGTAATCATGCATTCACAAAATCATTCATTTGTTCGGATGAAGTATTCCTCACTCTGTAATGACATCATGAAAGTTCAAAGTATTGAAGTTTTATGTACGTTATTTTAATTTATATTGAGATCATTAAGCTCTCTAAGTTTCAGAAAGTTCTCACCATGTATTGTGCTCTGCAATCTGATCCAAGCATGACGACATAATTTGATAAGAATATTGCAAAACGCATGCTGTCTATGTACTCGTCTCTGCTTTGGTTTCATACTTCTAAATCAACAGAGAGAGAGTAAGGATGGAGCATGGAGCGGGCAAATAATTAATAACTGTTTGACGTATTAATTTTTTTTAATTATTTGAGAAATTCATTTTGTAAAATATCTATTTTACCCTTTATGATTCTTGGGATCACCGACTCTATATTCACTAGCCATTATTGCCCTGTGTTTGGTTATGACTAAGAGCTTGTGATTATAAGTATGATTAAACCCGTGACTTTTTACTTAAATGAGAGCTTTTATGGCACTAGACTATAAAACCATAAACTTCATGCAATGATTTTGAATAGTTGTGATATAACTGGTAAGTATATCAAGTGTAAGCAGCAGTAGTCAAGATCAGACAGTGATGAGAGGTTGGGCCGGTCGTGTACTTTGGCCTTTGGGGCAAGAAGTCTTCATCTTTTCCTTATATTCCACACCAAACGATTTAAGTCTGCGTCAGGTGTGAAGTGGAGCATTCTGAGAGAATACTTTCTGGATTGGTAGAATTAGCTGCTAACAACCTTAAAGCTCATTTATAAAACAAAACTTAAGTTTTCTTCAGTTATTAAATGGAGGGAAAAAGTGAATTAGAGTCCCGTCAATTAGCTTTTATATTTAGAGCCGGAGGTAGTATATTACAGAAATCACATCAGCAACTTTATCTGTTTTTTTTTTTTGTTATAATCACGGCCCATTCAACAAGAAACTACGTCATTTGTTAACCATACGGCTGATACAACATAGGAGAAATGATTATTGGTTTGCATGAGGTTCTTGCTGTTTATACTACGGTTTTGTTGTATCTTTTCTGCTATAATTGCACTCTGTCCCGACATTGTTTGAATAGTCCATCAGATATCAGGTTTCTAGTTGATCAGATTTGTTTCCATGTGTCATGGATTCTATAATTAGGACGGGAGGTAGTATATTTTTTCTAACGTTTTATTGTTCGTGTTATTCTTGGTAGATAGGAGTCTTTGGCTAATCAAGTTCAAACCGGAAAATTCAGTTTAGATTAATTCTATAAGTTTTTATCCTAATAATTAGCCCTAACTGAGTGCCTAGGAGTCAATTTTAGTGCTAAACACAGATAACCGTATATAAATAAACTTCAGAGTTTAGACGTGTAGTTTACTTTCTGCACAACAATCTCAGTCTACCGTATTTAGTCTGGCTTTCCAAACTCTCTTTGATGGAGCATAGTTTGTTTGATAAGAATATATATATATATATATATATATATTTATATATTTATATAAAGCTTATTTTGTGTGGTGAATATTGTTAGCAACTATCAGGATCAATCATAAGTCGTCGAGAGGTTACGTCAAGCCCAATCGTGTATTTTGGGGGTAGCGAATCTTTCATCTTTTTCTAATCTCTCTAATTAAACGACTCCAATTCTGTGTCGGTATACCATGGTTTTGTTATATCTTTTCTGCTATAATTGCGATCCGTCCCGACATTGTTTGAATAGTCCATCAGATGTCAGATTTCTAGTCACACCCAGAACAGAGGATTGATGAGTGTGTGATTTATTATTGTCTGTGTGAAAATCTTTTTATAAATACATAATAATTTAATTCTTTTCACTGGCCAATGGCTAGATTACACCACCCCCCCCCCAACTTTTTGACGTGACTCGGTCGTCACGCGTCTTGCATGGTTGTTAGCTTTATTGGTTGCTGGCCACCGACCATATGCTGTGTTTTTTTAATCCTCAGTCTGAGTCATTTCTCCACAAATGAGTCAACTCGTGTACTGTTTGGAACTGAGAGAGCAATAATTGAGTCTCCTTCCGGCCTATATATATGGATAGAGAGGACGTAATGGAAGACATATAGGCAAACAGGGAAGCTAATTAAGCATACTCAAAAATGGGGTATCATTCAGTGAGATCAGAAGACGTGTTTGAAAGAAGAGAGAGAAGCTCTTCTGAAATTGAAAGAAGCTTTCAATTATCCAAATGGCTCCTCTCTTCCTTCTTGGAATAACCAAACCTTCTCTGCAGATTGCTGCACTTGGGAGGCTGTGAAGTGTGACAACTCCACTCATAGAGTCATAAGCCTTTATCTGAACAATACAAGACCTTATGAGTTGAGACACATCAAATGGTCACTCAATGCTTCTTCTTTTCTCCCCTTCATCCAGCTTCATAGATATCGTTTGGATGGGAATTACTTGTCAGGTCACCCTCTTTCTTTTAACTATTCTATCATTCATGCATACATATATGTATATACACACACAAAGTACATAGACATACATTGCTAATTAAGACCGACATTTTTATAAGCATTTCGAACTCTGATTTTTGAAGATGTAAAGGCACATCGGTTACAGTAAAAAATTAGGTAAAAATGATTATGATTATATCATTCATTGCCTTTTATCTCGTTCATTTTTGTCGGTTTCCTCTTTTAGGCCGCTGATTTGCCAGGGTAAGAGTCCATTCTAGTTCTAGCTAAATAATTGTGGATAATTTCTGATTGGAATAATGAAACGTTCCGTCCTTCAAATTTACTTTATTTATTGATTTGGTCCATGAAATTTAATTAATTGTTATAAATCAAGTCCCTAAAGTTTTGTAATCATACAAAATTAGTCATTATGGTTTGAAGATATATAATCCTAAACGCACATGTGCCATCACTAACCATTAATTCAAGGATGATAACCCTCACTCTGCTTTATTTATGAAATTTGAACCAATTTTTTTATTTGTCTCCCACTAATTATATGTTATATCCCTTCATTTATTCTCTCTCATAGTTATCTTTTGCTTACTCAATTTCCTTTCATTCACCCTTATTATTATTTTTGGAAAAAATACATTTTTACATATTTATTGCCTTTAAGCAATTTCAACAAACTATATAATCTACATAATTTAATCATTTATATCTTAATTATAGATAGCAACAGAGGGAGTAAAATTGCGTATGAAACTTTAAGAACTTGATTGATAAAAATTAAACTTCACAAACCAAATTGATAACGGAGACAAATTAAATTTGAGTACCAAAAGTTTTATTACTCTTTTTTTTTAAAAAAAAATAATCAAGTAAGATATTTTAGAAAATGTTTGAGATACTAACCGTCTTGATTCGTGTTGTAAATATTTTTTTTAAAATAAATTAGAGGCAAGATGTTTTCTTGGATATATAGAGGGGCCCAAAACAAGCTTAATAAAAACTACATTATCAAACTTTCACTTCATGTTAAATTATGAAGAGGATGATGATATTAATTATATGAATTATTTTTTATAATTCTTTATACCCACTAACATTCATAGTAACTGATCACATGTTGTTTGTGGAGCAGGGCTGCTTGGCGATATCAGGCTGGGGAACTTGGAATTGTTGAACTTACAATTCAATATGTTGAGAGAATTCCCATATTTCGGTGCTAAATCTTTGTCTTCTCTATTATAGTATATTTTGAGGGACATATGTAGTTACTGAAACGTGCATCAAATTAAAGCATATCTATTTTTAGAAAAAAGATTACCGGGCCATCATTTTAAGAAAAATGCTAAAAGGAATATATAGACAACGTCTTCTCCATTAAATATATGAAAGTTTCGATTTTTTTGTTCTTGATTTTGTTGGGAAGTCGAATTATTTACCTTTGCCACATAATGATCTCACCTGAACAATTTATATGCCTTTATTTAATTGAGAGAATTGAATGAAATGTCAAAAGTAAGAGATAAGATGACGTTTTCTTACTTAGCAGATTCATTAGCAATAAATTTTAACAACACTTACACACAAACACACAAATTAATTTGAAGGAGTTGTGGCTTAACGCACACATGTCCATTTGGCATTTGACAGACCTTTCTCATTCACGTAATCTGAAGGAGCTGTGGCTTGATGCTAATTACTTGGAGGGCAGTATTCCAGAATCTATTACGTCTCTTACTTCCCTCACCACATTGACATTAGACAATAACAACCTGACTGGATCATTGCCACAAGAAGGTATGCATCATATTTTATACATCAAATTTGCTGATAACAAATTTTTATTTTAATTAAACAGTCAAATTTTCCTTGTTCCTGCAAATTGAGTCGACTGTTCAATGAAATCGATTTCCAATCCATCTCCTAACTGGCATGCGGCAATAGTTTAAAATAATGTAGTCAAAACAAATAATAGTTGACATAATAATAGTAATAATGATAATAAGAAGAAGAAGATGGAACTGTATTTACACACATGGACATGCTAAAACTAGTAAAAGGAAATGGCTTAATCATTTATTTTCACTTATATTTTTGGGCTCAATATTGAGGTTTTTCCTGGGGCCCAACTCTTAATTCGTACATACCCACAATTAATTTAGCCCACGTAGACCCTTTTTGGAAAAATATAGTATAATTTCATATCCCTTTGGATAAGAAGAAAAGTTGAAAGGAGAAAAAATAGAGAGAAAGAAAAATTAGGAAGAAAATATTATCATTCCTCTTACTTGGATAGATGAGAGAAAATAGAGAGGAAAGAAAAACTAAAATATCCTTATCAAAACATATCATATTTAAAATTGAACCAAATTAAATATTGCAGTAGAAAAATTATACTAATATTAGCATAATCAAATCATTTAAAATCAAATTATTTGGTTTATATATTTTCAAATTATTATATTTTAAAACCAACTTATTTAATAAAAATATTATTTTGAGATACAAAATAAAAAGCGAATCCTTTTTTAAATATAATAAAAGAAAATAAATATAGAGAGGGAGAACTAAAGAAGGAGGAAGGTAGTCATGTAAATCTTGTTTTTCTTCCCAAATCTCTCCAGATATGGAGAGAAAATTTGGAGAGAAAATGAGACATAGGGCTTACCTCATTTTTTCCCCCACTTTTTCTTCCTCTCATATTTTCTCTCCTACCAACTTGGACAAAACTCATTTCTCCTCCCATTTTTCTTTCTAGTTTTCTTTTCTTCATAATTTTCTCTCAATCTAAGTAGGAGGTTAAGCTATTACTTCTAGTTGTATAAATTTTTTAATTAATGGACTAATTAAATAATTTTAATGAATAAAAATGGTATGTTGCAGGAGGCTTGTGCAATCTGAAGAATCTTTCCCTATTGAATCTTGCTGTCAATGAATTTGAGGGGCAACTTCCTGCATGCCTTGGCAATTTGACGTCTCTACGTACGCTTTATCTTAATAAAAATCGTTTTGAAGGAACATTTCCTTCCTCACTTTTTCATGCTCTGAGGTCCCTAACAGCAATTTTTCTTTCTGATGACAATTTTAGTGGTTCCTTTTCACTCTCTTCACTTGCCAACCACTCCAACCTTAAAGTCTTTAGCATCTCTTGCTCTAACGCCCATCTAAAGCTTGAAACTGAGAATCCCCCATCTATTCCTTCCTTCCAGTTGAGGCTTTTTAGAATCCACAAATGCTCTCTAAATGAAGCGAACAATAAGACAATGCCTACCTTTCTTCTTCATCAATATGACTTGCTGGCTCTAGAACTTAGCCACTTGAACATTTCTGGGACCTTCCCGTCATGGCTTTTGACAAACAACACGAGATTAAGTTATTTCAATCTGACGCACAACTTGTTCACTACTCCCTTTAAACTCAATCCTGCCTCAAAACTGCTTCAAATGGAGTCCTTTGATATTTCCTCTAACCCCATCAGAGATGAAATGCCATCTCATATTGGATACATTTTTCCCAACTTGATTTCTCTTAATATGTCATCAACTTCATTGCGAGGTTATTTTCCAGCTTCAATAGGTGAAATGAGACAATTGAATGATCTTGACTTGTCAAATAATAATTTATTTGGCTCTTTGCCTCAAGAATTTGGTCAAGGGAACAATGAATTGAGATTTTTGAAGTTGTCAAACAACAACCTGAGTGGCTCATGTCTTCCCATAGGATCAAATTTCACACATTTGTTGTCTCTTGATCTCAACAACAATAACTTCAAAGGAAAATTTCAAGGTGGCTTCATGAACAGTACTGGATTGATAATGTTGGATTTAAGTGCCAATCAACTATTTCGTGAAATACCTAGCTGGATTGGAAATTTCAAGATTTGAGTTACCTCATTTTGTCAAAGAATTCTTTAACAGGTTCACTTCCAGAAAGCTTTTGCAACTTGACCAAACTTACATATTTAGACCTTTCTCACAATACATTAAGTGGTTCTTTGCTAAGTTGCCTGAACATGCCGTTGTTGATGTATCTACATTTGCAGGGCAATCATTTCATGGGATCTCTACCTTCTACTTTGGCTAATTCTTCCTCATTGTTGACTTTCGATTTGATGCATAACAAATTTTCAGGTCGAATTCCAAGATGGATTAGCTCATTCTCTAGTTTAAGGGTTCTCATGTTAAAAGAAAACAAACTTGAAGGCTCTATTCCGACACATTTATGTGAGCTCAAGAATATTAGATTGTTAGATCTTTCTCAAAATAAGCTTTCTGGAGGCATACCATATTGCTTGAATAACATCGGATTTGGAAACATGGATGCAGCAAGTGAAATCGAAATAGGAAGTTTTATTGTGTCCTGGACTACAAGATCGTCTCATTACCGTTTTGACAGTATTACCGGTAAAGTTTTTGTACCAAAAGAAAAACAAAATGTTACATTGTGTAAAGTGCAAGAAGTAGATTTTACAACAAAAAGCAGGTATGAATCTTACAAGGGAAGCATTTTAAATTTCATGTCTGGGTTGGATCTCTCTAGCAATCAATTGAGAGGTAAAATTCCTTCAAACCTTGGATACTTAAGCACTGTCCATGCTTTAAATTTGTCAAACAATCAATTGGAAGGGCCTATTCCAGAAACGTTTTCCAGCCTCAAGCAGATAGAAAGCCTTGATCTTTCACACAACAAATTGACAAGCCACATTCCTACACAACTAACTCAGTTGTACTTCTTGTCTTTCTTCTCAGTTGCTCATAATAATCTATCTGGAATGACACCTGATATGAAAAATCAATTTGCAACTTTTGGCTCAGCCAGTTATGAAGGGAACCTTTTTCTATGCGGTCCCCCTTTGCCGCAAAATTGCTCAATAGGAGGGAGAAACAGGCAACCTCATCATTTGGATACAGATGATTTTCGAGATGCTTTCTTATGGAGTTTTGTTGGAGCATTTGGGGTCTTTTTTATAAGTGTCATTATAGTTATTTATTTGAATCCTTACATTTTCAATTACAAACTACTTGTATTAGAGAGAGTTATAACAAGTTATTTGTATGAGTGATGGCAAAAAGGAAAAAGGCTTTACTTAGAGTTCAATTAGAGTTCATAAGATTTTGATCATGTAATCGATGGCCTGCTGATCTTTTCTAGAATTACAATAACCAAAAGATTGCTGGTTTCAAGTCTTCTCAGGATCAGAAAGGAAACTTAATTGAAATATTCGAATCATTACTTCTCATGTGTGTGTACAGCTTAGCAATCTCTTTCTCAAAATCCTTCATTGTCATCTCTGTTTCGTCTCTGTCTCTTTGTTCCTATTGTTCATAAGATGATCAACCTAACCTCATCAATATTTTTTAACCATGAATTGCTACCATCCAGAAGAACCTCCTGCTATTTTTACTGTTATACATATATCACAGGCGATTTGTGATCAAAATACTGTGTCGGCAAATGCAGTTTAAGTGATGATTCCTTCAAGCTTCTTCACAGTTTGCCCTGTATCTGACCATTAACTATAATTATTATTGTATATGTCTCTGTAGCTGCATGAGATTAACAATACTAATCAGTGGTGTTATGCTTACCGGTGGTTTCATATTCACCACCAATGGGGTATCCCTCCAGTGATGCTTCTTCTGGGAGGGACGGTGAGATCACAAGTCATCATCAAAATCTCTCTCTTTTTAACTTGCTTTTATGAACTCTTATTGCTTTCTTAATTTCTCTTGCGATCAGTTCCTAATACGTGCATTGTTCTGTCTCGTTTTTTGCTTTTCTCAATTGCAGTTGTGCAACTCTGTGCTGCTCTTTTTTTTTTTTTTGGGATTATTGCTATGTTGAGTCCCACAATATTAATTAGTGATGCAAAAGTAACAAAAAATTCGATGCGAAGTATTATGTTTACTGCCATAGGATACAATTGGTTAGCTGATATTTCAAAATCTAATGTTGGTTCATTCCAACTATACAAACAAATTCCAAGAACTTTTATTGATGAAGAATGGATTATTTCATCTCAATTCCGTGGTTACAAAATGAATTTGTAACGAAACACTTGGATGTAAAAGTACTTTCATAGAAGTTTCTTTTTTTTGAAACAGAGAGCAGTATTTTTGGTAAAAAAAAAAACAGAAAGCAGTACTTTGCGTGTGCATTTAGTGAGGACGTGTCAGTTTTATCGCCTGTGCACAACTAACTACAATTGATTGTACTACCTCCGGTGTGCAATATAAGAACTAGTTTAATTTTTAATTTGATTCTCAATATAAGAGTACAATCTATTTTGTCTCTTATATTTATTTATTTTTTTCAAAATAATCCTTGTAATAGTTACACATGTTAAATATTCTATTAAATGGTAGTTTTAGTAATACACATAATTAGTAAGGGTATTTTAAGGAAGACAATACTATTTATTTCAAATAACTAATTTAACAAACTTCTTAATTTACTCAAATTAGTTAATTAGCTTTTATATTAAGGACTGGAGGTAGTATATAGTTAGGTGTTTTATCTGTCTAAAAAATTTTAATTAGTGGGAACAAAGGATTTTTCAAGTTTAAAATTATGAAAAACATCGACCTGCTCCACCACAAAATCATCAGGATTCAGTATAGGTTAATTCAATTAACATATATACCTTGTTCTTGTCTTAAAAGGTTGTGAATGTTGATTAAACAAATCGATCATAAATATGTCAATTACCTTGAGCAGAGGAATCCCATATAACATCATCAAGACATGTTACGGCTGTATTTCTAACTTTATGACGAAACTATCTCATTGCTTGGCCAAACACCACCTAAAACTGATAGTTTCTAAACAAGTACGTACGCGATTTATTATGTCAGGCTTAAATCTGATCCTTTTCTGTTATTTCTTTCTTTCTTGGTTTTTTACAAATTCTCTTTAGAACCTCAAATTCTTCGTTCATCCTTGTGGGAGCCATCGTTTGTTTATTCTTTTCTCTCCATTGAGACTATATAAATTACACTATAAAGTAGATCTTATATTTAGGCAGAAGGTAGTATATAATTACCCCTCTCTCTTTTCTCTTTCTTTCTCAATCTCGTGCATAACCTGCAACAGATACTATGAGTCAACTAAACCGAGTTTCTGGTTTTTGTAGAATTATATTATTATTCAACATGTTTTAGTTCCGGCACAACAATCTCAATCTACATGATGGAGCTTAGTTTGTTTGATTCTGCAGAAATGTCAAAAGCACAGGCATTGACTTTAAGTGGTTAAGAATATAAAACTTACTGTGTGGTGAACATTGGTAGCAACTGTCTGGATCAATCACAAATTGAGAGGTCACGTACGTTAAGCCCAGTCATGTATTATGGGGCAACGAATCTTCATCTTTTTCTCGTCTTTTACATTATGTTAAAAATGTTGAACCTCATTCATAAAACAAAACTCAAGTTTTTTTTTTTAATTGAAGAAATGACATGTATGGGATATCATATATGCTTCACATGCTCCTATCTCATCATCAGCAACTTTATCATTTATGTTTTGTTATAATCATGACTCGTTCAATACACAAGTTTTGACAAAATAGACAATTACCATAGGATGGCACATAAATTCTCTGTGCACGCAATGCCAGGAACTGAGCTTAGCTTATTGAAGCAGATTTTTGAACTAGATATGCCTCATGCCTACAATTTCCGAGAAATTGACTATGTACCCAATAGAGCTTAGGTTCTGATGATCTCCAGCTACATTTGGTTTTGCTGTATACTATGGTCTTGTTAAATTTTTTCTGGTGAAATTTCACTTTGTCCCAGATTTGTTTGAATAATACATCAGATGTCAGATTTCTAGTGGATCAGAGCTGTCTCTATGTGTCATAGATTCTAATCACACCCAGAACAGAGGATAGATAAGTCTTTGGCTTCTTATTTTTTAACTTCTTAATGAAATTCATTTCATGAATACATATTAAATTTATTCTGGCATTACTTCTGGGGATCACCGGCCATTGACTATATTTCTCCCCTGTTTGTTTGGTTGTGACTCAGTTTTCAAGTATTGGTTGGCTTTACTGAGACAATCGTGATGTGTTTATTAATTTGCCCTAGTTGTTACACTTTTCTCGGTCTGAGTCATTTCTGCTGCACAAATAAGTCAACTTGTGTTTTGAAACACCGTGGGCAGCTAGCGTCTTCTTGCCGCTATATATATAGATAGAGAGGACGCAAAGGAAGACATACGCAAGCAGGGAAGCATATACTGAAATATGGGGTATTCAGTGAGAGAAGATGTGTGGTGGGTTTAATGGAGAAAGTGAGGAGTGCTTGAAAGAAGAGAGAGAAGCTCTTATGAAATTGAAAGAGGCATTTAATTACCCAAATAGCTCTTCTCTTCCTTCTTGGAATAACCTTACCTTCTCTGATTGCTGCACCTGGGGGGCTATAAAGTGTGACAACTCTACTAAGAGAGTCAAAAGCTTTCATCTAAGCAATACAAGACCCTCTGAGTAGAGACACATCAAATGGCCACTCAATGCCTCTTCTTTTCTCCCTTTCCACCCCCTTGAACAGTTGTATTTGGATGGGAATTACTTGTCAGGTCACCCTCTTTCTTTTAACTATTTTATCCTATATAGACACGCATTGTTAATTAAGACTAATATTTGTACCTGCATTTCAAACAGATATTTTAATCACAAAACATAATTTAACGATATTAGTTACAATAATTCATGTATTAATAAAAAAATTAGGTCAAAAAATTATGATCGTATCATTGTTTGGCATACCGTACTTTTTCATTCCTTTCTTATCTGCTATAACGTAAAACCATTCTGACTAAATACTTGTGGATAGTTTTTGATTGGTATAATGATAATTTTGATTCTCAAGTTTGTTTCAGTTATCGATTTGGTCTTTAAAGTTTACTCAAGTTCCTAATGTTTCATAACTTTTGGTAATTAGTCTTTATAATTTGAAGATATATAATCCTAAACACATATGTGATGTAACCATTAACTCACGGATGATAACCTCTTCACGGAATGTAGAAAAAATTATTGGTCTGATGAAATCAAATAAAAATATGAAGTTGTGTACGTATGAAGAGAATATTGATGATGTTACTTATACATATGATTTTTTTTTATAATTCTTTTTACACAGTAACATGTTCATAGTAAATGAGCACATGTTGTTTGTGGAGCAGGGCTGTTTGGTGATATTAGGCTGGCCAACTTGGAAGACTTGGATTTAGAAGATAATAAGCTCACAAAAGTCCCATCATTCGGTGCAAAATCTCTATCTTCTAGATTCTTTTAAATGTCATATGTTAATTGCTGAATCGAGCATAGGAAGTTTATCTACTTTTAGGCAACTTTTCTCAAGTACATTCACGAAAGTTTCTATTTTTAATTGCTTGGCTTTGTTCCGAAGTCAATTGATATCATATTTACTAATTTACTCATCCACATATTTGCCGTCATATAATCATCTCAAGTTCTCAACCGATGAATTTACGTATCTTTATTTAGAGAATTGAACGGTTAGTCAAACTTTAGAGATTCTTGAGAATGTTGAGAGGTGAATGAGATGACGATTTTCTTATGGATACATGACTAAACATGCAAGGAGATAAATGGCCAATAAATTTTGACAATGTATAAAGACTAAGAAATAGCAGAACAATTCATTAAAACATTTTATTTAGATTAAATGATCCATCCAAATAGCTTCTTCAACATGCCATGATGTGTGTCCATATATATTGTTAGAAACTTGCTCAACGTACATTTCATTTGGCATTTGACATATCTTTCTCATTCACTTAATTTAAGTCTCTGGTGCGTGCTTTAGATAACTTGGAGGGTAGTCTTCCAGAATAATCTATTATGTCTCTTGGTTCCCTCACCCACTTGTCAATAGGCTTTGAAAACCTGACTGGATCACTGCCACAACAAGGTACGAATCATATTTTGTTCATGAAATTCTTAGTTTAAATGTGGTCAAAGTAGATAAGGGTAAATTTAGCCCATAGAAACCAGTTTTAAAAAAATGTCAGTTAATCTCAAAATTGAAAGCTTTAAGATCACTTCAAAGTTTTATCAATTTTTTTATTGATGAACTGATTGAATGATTTTAATAAATAAAATGGTATGTTTTGCAGAAGGCTTGTGCAATCTAAAGAATCTTATAGCATTGGATCTTTCCTGCAATGAATTTGAGGGGCAACTTCCTATGTGCATTAGCAATTT